AATACTTATTTTCCACCATAATTTGCAAATAAATTCATTAAAAATCCTACAATGTGATTTTCTGGATTTCTTTTCCTCAATTTGTCTGTCATAGTTGACGTGTACCTATGATGAAAATTACAGGCCTCTCTCATCTTTTTAAGTGGGAGAACTTGCACAATTGGTGGCTGACTAAATCCTTTTTTCCCCACTGTATATATAGCAATCAAAGAAAAAATCTCAAAAAAATCTCAAATGAATAATACGCAACCATTCAAACAACTCCATTAGCATGAGTAGAAAAAACGTATTTCACTTAACAGTCTAAAGTGTCGTCCTCTCCTTCCAACCACGTATCTTCAGCTGTTGAGTCTAAACTATATTCACTAAATCCTCATCTACTGGTTCTGTGACACTTTCCGATCGATTTCTGCTATAATCTCATCCAAATCTGTATACCTGGACTTTTCCAGTATTAGTAGCCATATTGTACTTTCAAAATTTGCAGAACACGTTGTTTACTAAATCGAGTTGTGCGTAACGCAATGCGCCACTTCCTTGTTTAGATTTCCAATGGACAGTAAACTGAGTTGCGCGCGTGCTGAATACACAGGCATTTCCTCAGACAAAGGACCATCTCATACTCCTGTAAAGCCCAGCTCATTGGCTATCTAGCTAGCTATGTTTCAAAACGATAGGTGGTCATTGGACCAAGATACAGTCAATCAAGTGAACACCGCCCGTCTCATCGGCGCGTAACGATGTGTCTTCGTAGCTAAAATTGTTTCTGTATCGGCTATACCTTATGCAGAATGATGAAGGAAAGGCTGGTTACCTTCTGGAGTGTCTGAGGAATAAACAGGAACCTAACTTGACTGGCTGAAACAAGGTTTAGCTTTTGATTTTCACAGATTTCCTTCTTTGCAAGTTGATCGAGTGGGAATACAACATCGATCGTGCATATCACATGGATCGTGTTAGGATATAAAAATTGATTTTATCAAACAAAACTACGCTATATTTTATCTCTGGAACCCTCATGATGACAAATCAGAGCTAGATTACTGAATTTAAGTACATTATTTACCTTCAGATGTGAATGTATCAAACCTGTTACCGTGATAAAAGTGTTTTGTTGTTGTGCACTATCCTCAAATAATAGCATGGTATTTTTTTAGCTGTAATAGCTACTGTAAATTGGACACTGGAGTTAGACTGACTATAGTTTAAGCTTTCTGCCCATACAAGACGTACAGTACCAGTCAAAAGTTTGGACACACCTACTCATTCAAGGGTTTTTCTCTTGGCATTCTCTCAACCAGCTTCACCTGGAATGCTTTTTCCAACTTTCTTGAAGGAGTTCCCACATATGCTGAGCACTTGTTGGCTGCTTTCTCTTCACTCTGCCGTCCGATTCATCCCAAACCATCTCAATTGGGTTGAGGTCGGGGGACTTTGGAGGCCAGGTCATCTGATGCAGCACTCCATCACTCTCCTTCTTGGTAAAATTGCCCTTACACAGTCTGGAGGTGTGTTGGGTCATTGTCCTGTTAAAAAACAAATGATAGTCCCACTAAGCCCAAACCAGATGGGATGGCGTATCGCTGCAGAATGCTATGGTAGCCATGCTGGTTAAGTGTGCCTTGAATTCTAAATGAATCACAGACAGTGTCACCAGCAAAGCACCCCCACACCATAACACCTCCTCCTCCATGCTTTATGTTGGGAACTACACATGTGGAGATCATCCGTTCAACCACACAGCGTCTCACAAAGACACAGCGGTTTCACCTAAAAATCTCAAATTTCCACCGGTCTAATGTCCATTGCTTGTGTTTCTTGACCCAAGCAGGTTTCTTCTTCTTATTGGTGTCCTTTAGTAGTGTTTTCTTTGCAGCAATTCGACCATGAAGGCCTGATTCACACAGTCCCCTCTGAACAGTTGATGTTGAGATGTGTCTGTTACTTGAACTCTGTGAAGCATTTATTTGGGCTACAATTTCTGAGGCTGGTAACTCTAATGAACGTATCCTCTGCAGCAGAGGTAACTCTGGGTCTTCCATTCCTGTGGCGGTCCTGTATACCCCCCTACCTTGTCACAATACAACTGATTGGCTCAAACGCATTAAGAAGGAAAGAAATTCCACAAATTAACTTTTAAGAAGGCACACCTGTTAATTGAAATGCATTCCAGGTGACTACCTCATGAAGCTGGTTGAGAGAATGCCAAGCGTGTGCAAAGCTGTCATCAAGGCAAAGGTTGGCTATTTGAAGAATCTCAAATGTTAAATATTTTGATTTAACACTTTTTTGATTTAACACTGTTTTGATTTAACACATGATTCCATATGTGTTATTTCATAGTTTTGATGTCTTCACTATTATTCTAAAATGTAAAAAATAGTAAAAATAAAGAAAAACCCTTCAGTGAGTAGGTGTGTCCAAACTTTTGACTGGTAGTGTATATGTCTGTGAAAATTTGCTTTTGTTTACAACGTCATTGTAGTCACTTAATCCGTATTGAGCAACAATTGTCCCGATTTCGGGACACCCATCCAGTAGAGGTTAAAAAACTCTTCAAATACTTCAATCACTTCAACTTCAACCAATAAAGTGGTTATTTGGCTAGGTTTTGCTACAGCCTATATCAACGAGAGTTAGCATTCTAGCTAACAACTGCTGCATCCAAAATAGTTATTTTGCAATGATCACAACCAAATATAATTTTAGCGACTGTTCAAGCAAGAATCAAAACATCATTGTAAGCGTATGAAAACCCGAAAAACGTATTTTGTTTAGAAGTAATAAAAAGTTAAAATCTAGGCTATGTTGAATGGGCGCAGATGGCGATGGCTTTCTTACTGCTGCCAAGAGTCGCGCGCATTTGTATGTGACGTCAGTGTGTCGTGTATTGGAAAAGGGTCTATAGGATTCCATCCTTTAGGATTCTATCCTATAGGATAGTTTCCCAAATCTGGTAGGATTTTCTTTGGGATTCTAATATGATTTGTTATAGAATTCTATTGGATTTTCTTTACTAGCGGTGCATCACCAATTGTCAACTGTCTAACCCCATCAGAACCCAATATATGAACTTGTTTTACTCCATTGTTTGTAAACTATTTAATTGTAAACAACACTGTATAGACTCATGGTTAAATCTATCATTTTGATATCATGGATAGTCAGTCATTGTATCAATAGCTCTGTCTAGGAATATAAGAGTGGTTACATTTCTCCAGCTCCATCCCTCAGCTGTTTACCAAAAAACTGTGACTGCTTTGTTATTGTTTGAACTGAAGACTCAGTGACTGCACCCTGTGTTCTGTCTAAAACGTGCGTCCTTGTGTGTGTTTGTGTGCATTGTGGTGGATATTATCAAATAAGCATTTGCTGGAGTCCAAGTCAAGCTAAGATTCTTTATTTCTGAGCTCAGAGGAAACAGAGTCAATCAATCAATCAATTTTATTTTATATAGCCCTTCATACATTAGCTAATATCTCGAAGTGCTGTACAGAAACCCAGCCTAAAACCCCAAACAGCTAGTAATGCAGGTGTAGAAGCACGGTGGCTAGGAAAAAACTCCCTAGAAAGGCCAAAACCTAGGAAGAAACCTAGAGAGGAACCAGGCTATGAGGGGTGGCCAGTCCTCTTCTGGCTGTGCCGGGTGGAGATTATAACAGAACCATGCCAAGATGTTCAAAAATGTTCATAAGTGACAAGCATGGTCAAATAATAATCAGGAATAAATCTCAGTTGGCTTTTCATAGCCGATCATTAAGAGTTGAAAACAGCAGGTCTGGGACAGGTAGGGGTTCCATAACCGCAGGCAGAACAGTTGAAACTGGAATAGCAGCAAGGCCAGGCGGACTGGGGACAGCAAGGAGTCACCACGGCCGGTAGTCCCGACGTATGGTCCTAGGGCTCAGGTCTCTCAGTTGGCTTTTCATAGCCGATCATTAAGAGTTGAAAACAGCAGGTCTGGGACAGGTAGGGGTTTCGTAACCGCAGGCAGAAACAGTTGAAACTGGAATAGCAGCAAGGCCAGGCGGACTGGGGACAGCAAGGTGTCAGCATGCCCGGTAGTCCTGACGTATGGTCCTAGGGCTCAGGTTCTCAGAGAGAAGAGAGAAAAGAGAGAAAATTAGAGGAGCTACTTTTT